AAAAAGAACTACACAGAAATGTTGTCGTTTTGCTTTCTGTCAACATATATTTTATAAACAACTGTCAGAGTTTTGTTACCAACAGATCAGTTTTCATTATTTTTTCATCAAATCTATTGACACTTGAAGCGACAATTTAATTATAAAAAGTAATAATCGAATACGAAAGAAATAAGCAATCATCCGCAACACAAAAAAACTAAACAAAAAATTAACATTGGAAACATCGGGTCGATTGCGCAATTTCAATCGCTGTAACAGTAGATTTAGTTGAACTCAATTCGAATATTAGTCCAGTCTCAATTTGTACAAAATTGATTTTGTGTTTTTCTATATAGTATGCGCGATTATTTTTCGAATAGCATTTGATAAAAGAGAGATAGAGATCTGCACATCAAATTGTGTACTCCCTTTTTTCGCTTTAAACATTCCACAAAGAATTTTTCATCTTTCCGGAATTTTTTCCGTTTGGAATGTTTTCTGTATCCAGAATTCTGCACTCTAAAAAAATATGTCTTATAATAAGATCTACAAGTCGATACACGATTAATCTCATTTTTCCAGTGACCTTACCCGCATCTGTCTTAACTCTAGAACAACACATAGCTGTGATCTTTGCAATATGTTAGATATAACTCCATTGTATTTTATTCGTTTTATTCGAGCAACGTTTCATTAGCAAGCCTAACTAAAACTGAACAAAATGGGGTGCTTTTTAAGTTTTTAGTATTGAAACTGAAGTTTTTAGAAGTCAAACAAGTGAAAAAATAGTGTTTCTAAAACTGAAATTTTCCAAATAAAACCAATTTTTCGATACCTACATAGACTTCCGATCCTGCCATCGGATACAGCATTCAATTCTTTACAAACTGAGCGCAAAAAGCTTGCTCTAGAACCCCTGAAGCACCACGAAAACTACCTTACAATAAGGTGTATCACACTAATTACTTCATTTTTTTAAAAAAACAAACTTATGATATAAAAACAAATATTTTCATAGCAATGATGTATGTTGATTATTGTATGATCACTTTTATGTCATTGACCCTCATTGGATGTGTGGTTTTCAAACGTAGTTATGTTTTGTTAAAGAACATATATCTTGAAAAGTTTATGACTCTTATGATAACCTAGTAAAAAGGATAGATGTTATGCTTTTCATCAACGCAAACATATATCCGACACATATCTGACTTTAAAACATAGATAGCTTTTCTGTTCTATGATGTGTAATCTTCTCTGAAAAACACGTGCTGTCTAGTCTCGTTCCACCATCTCGATACTACTTGTATCACTCTCTTCTATATCACACGTGTCTCTATCTATAACATCTCTCTATCACAGAGTATACAAGCTTTGGTCATTGATCAAGGATATAAGCTGTATAGGTTGAGCATTGGGGTAGAACACACGATAGCAATGCACAGGATGGAATGAGAACAATATTTTCCATATCTGGGATCGCGAGCGACCCCAGCTATACGCTGGGCCTTTTATGGAGCGAGTCATCAATCGGCTTATAAGTCTTAGTAAATCTATATATCTTATTTTTTACAGCAGTTTCAATTTTAAGAATGATGCTACCATTAGGAATATAAGAGTAAGGCAGCACTGCTAGTCTAGCTGATATTAATATTTTATACCAGGAAAATGGAAAAATATTTGAGTATATTATTATCAGATCGTCTGTTCTTTATATATAGGGGGTGTATGTGAAACAGAAACGGTGAATGATTAAATTTTAGCTGATTACGTATTTCTTAACAGTGAAGCACTTTGGTGTTGTTGCGAGGCCAGCACAAGAAAATTAAATTTTTGAACGATCCCTGTCCCTTTCGAGCTGCGCTAATTCTATTAAAAAACTTATAGTGAGAAAATGTATTTTTTAATCACAATCTGAAACCCTTGTACAGTCTATCGATGATATATTCCTAAACGTTCTGAAAAGGTGTTTATAAACCAATCTGAAGAGAGATACTTTCTAAAAAGAAACGGACTTTTTCAGAAACCTTAAGGGTCTAAAGAAGTTCTTTTTTATCAATACTGCAAAAACTCAGGGGTTTTTTCCTTCAGTTACTAAACTCATTAGGTTTTTTTAGACTGAGCAGAAAACCCTTGGAGTTTTAAAATATCGATCAAAAAATCTTTTTTTTACAAAATCCATTTATCATACCCACAGGATTTGTGATCGTCACAAAACCCGTTTAAATTTCAATTAATTCCTTACACTTCCTTACACTAACTTGTTCCTAAACCGATAAAGATTTCTTATCAGGATTTAGTAACCTAGAAGGTTTCTTAAAAATTTCTTTTTATTTAGAGAGTAGAGAGAGAAGCGGTTAGGATTTTTTTAATATAATCTTTTTGTTTTCGTAGTCGTCGTCAGGTCATTTTAGTTCTTTAAAACTGACGAGGGAAGGACCCCAAGTTGCAAATCATTTCTTCGATGAAACTAGGTGGATTATATGTAAGTGATGATGCTGTCCAAATATGATCATCAGAGTTTTTCCTTAGGCTTTTGCTGAGCGATTTTCTGGAAACTGGATCTTCAGAAAACCGAGGACCAAACCCTGAAATAAGCTGTTTTGTAGAGGACACAAACTGTCTGTGTTCCATAAGTTTTAGTTTTAAGGCCCCATTTTTGATATTTTACTTTTCAAATTAATGGTGAGCGCCGAAAGTCCAAAATTCGAAAAAGTCGCATTACCTTCCATAAAGATATCTTTCTAACTATAAATCTAGACCGAATATCAAAAATCGGGCTCTATTAGCCTCTAGCCACATGTGTCAGCTTCAATTTAAGATCTTCTCAAGTTCTCTACGATCTTTCGTTACCGAGAAATCTTGCAGCTACGAATTGGTATTAAGGTAAAAGTCGCTTTCAAGATGTGGTGGCGGCAGTATCTGATGCATGTTTTAGGGCTTCCGATAAAACTCTCATAACTCTTGATCAGAATATCATTCAGAACTGGAAGATATCTCATTTTGATCAGAAATGTTTGCTCTATTTCTTGGTATTACTGAAAATATTTTTGGATTCCTTTGTTTATCGGAAAGTAAAAGTTTTTCAACAAGTCAGCTTTTCAAGGTTTTCAGAAAAATTTTGAGAGTTTGGTCTTTGGTTTGCTGACGATCCAGTTTTCAGAAAGTCGGCCAACAAAAGCTTAAGGAAAACTCCAATGTTCATATTTGGAATCAACGTCATCAATTACATATATTCCTATATAATGAGCAGGATACTATCGGTCTTAAGTCCAAGAGATACTAATATGGAAATATTACAAATTCGAAAATATTTAAAACGTAAAGCTACTGAAGAATTTGGATCAATAGATCGTATAGTTGAAGAATCATATCATGCTGTATGCATCAGCCTCAATCAAACGATTTCGTTATCCATACAATAAAAAATATCTTACAAAAGCAACGTCGGTCTACCACTTCCTCGATTGATTCAGCAACTTTCATTTCCATTACCAGACATTTATTGCAAAACAAAAAAAGGTGAATTATTTTTGTTATACGATGGATTACTTGGTAGTACTCATTCACGTGTGTTTCGCCGGTATAATTTGTAAAATACAAGAGTTTTTTTCCATCTTACCTTGATTATTAAGTCATAAAACAAATAGCTTTTTCTCTCTACCGAAAGATGAATTAGATTTATAAGATTTGAATATAATTTTTATTATTATTCATAGAACCAAATGAAAATTCAAATGAATGTCGACAAAAGTCGTTTGACGCAGAAAAAAGGTGAGTCCATTCTCATTTTAAGTTTTGAATTTCCTCTTTCTGCATATTGAATCTATATCCTTACTTACTTCCGGATAACATTTGTTTCAAGTAAATTTAACATTTGACAATAAATTTTTCCCTTACTAGTTGAAGTGTGAAGTATAATTTTTTCTGAATGTCTTCATTTAAGTTGTGCTTGAAACGTCTTGTGTATACCACGCGGTATCTCATAATAAGAATTTTAATATGGCTCGAATACATTTTCCTCTATCAACATGCATAATTAGAAGTTGCTATAAATACCAAATATTCTGTTAACTACTAACTAGTGCCATCAAATCGAGCTTGAATTTCCGTGCGGAGAAAATTCAATGCCTATAGAGAGTATCACGCATCCTAAGATTCTCGAATTCGTCTAAGTAAACGATATTTTTCGACATCGTAATGGCAGCAATATTGAATATAAATTAGTTAGTAAAGCCATTTTTTTAGGCACTATCGAACAATATATTTCTCAATTGTTCATATTACCAATGATGTGTAGGTGGTAACATACTCTGAAGGGCATTTGTTGCAAAAAAGCTGATTTTCTCCAACTTAAAAGTGCTGTCATATATTCCCTTCGAGCTGTAATTTTTACAAAAAAATTTCTTGGAAAATGTTTTGAATCAACGTGATGTATTTTTCATGTATCTGTGGATATAAAATGTCAGAAAAAGTTCTTTTGAAATTTCTAATAATTTCATGAATACTTGACTTTAAATCGGTCATATTGGATGCAGACATGGCTGGCAAAACTCGGGCACTCATATCTATACACAAGTTTATTAACTAAAAGGAAACTGAGTGAATGATTTTCAATATTCGTTAAAAGTGCTAGTTTTTATTTGTGAGAAAATCACAAAAAGATTTCTGTGTTATATTCTAGAAAGAACTAAGATCTATACAACTAATTGATTTTTATGAGTTAGCAAACAAGTACGATTGAATAAATATGGAATATCAACTTTTAAATCTATCAGAACACATGAGAAATACGATGAACAATTAAATTAAAGTTACGTATTCTTTTGGAAATGACATTGAGAGATGAATGTATCAAATCGAAGAGCACCTTCGATAATTACGAGTTGAACTTGCTATTGCTAACTTTGTTCTATGTTGATGGCTCTTGAATAAGCTCTACTACTATTGCTTCTTGTTTGCTTAGACAAAAAGAACTTTGGTTTATTATAATTGACATCCAAGTTGAAAATCTGACACTAAATTAATTTGCCTTTTTTTGTAAGTTTATCTTCACTCCTATCAGCATCAAATTGTCTAAATATAAAAGACGACAAGACCATTAATAACAAAATCATCGGCAACACCAGTTGTTATTCTTGCAACAGTATATCTCAGAATAATAATTCAGGAAGTACTGAAAACGACAGATAGATAAACAGATAAACACCTCAAATGATAGATGTATGCATATCCAGTCGACCATTCTCAAGAAAAACACGATTGTTGTGATACATAGTATTCTGAAGGGAGGATCGAAAACTGGATAATTAAATTTAAAATACGTTTTTCAATTTGAAAATGTTATTCATATTTGGAAGATTTATAATTCGTATGAGCATAGGATCTATACATGTGAATTATAAAAGTAATAGAAGACAAGAACATTTATTCAAGTCGAGAAATTTCATTGATAAGTTATTTTCGTTTCGTCTACACTTCTCCTAATTATTCAACTTGCAGTGTACACAAGAAGAAAACCATAAGTGAGTTGAAAAGGAGAAATCTATCGCTCCTATCTGAAATCGGCTTAGAGATACCAAGTGCAATAAATTTAATCACGAAGTTTTTTTCACTAGAACTAATTAATTTGTAGTAACCGCTAGACATTTTTACGATAATTTGGAATGCTAGATTTGTTTAGATTAACAAAATCCACTCAAATACGACTGGTCAACATTAACTTATAAAGTCCGATCTATCTTGCTCATTGAAACTTTACGTTCACTCTTTTCCATTAAATAAAACTGCAATGTTCTAGTGGAAGTGATATGATCCAGTCTAACTCTGTACGCTTCTCTTGCATAGCCAAACAACTCACACTCCGAACGGCTCTCTCATGTTTTTCTTCAGCCAGATGGTTGATGAAATCATAATATTGCGAGTAAACTATAACTCCATCTTCTCAGTAATCGTTGAGCTCTTTAGCTTCGAAAATATCTGACACAAAAGAGCCCAATATTGTTGTCGAGTTTCTGAGGTCGAAGAGAGGTTATTCACCACGGAAACTCTTAATACCACAAAAAGTTACCAGAAAACTTCTGGAAGGTCTTCCGAACATATAAGCGATTTGAAACAAACGTAGTAATATTTATTATATCATTCGATCTCTGTTGAAAATTTATTTCGGTATGCTTTGGTCTTCTTCTGTTCAATAATGAACTGGTTTTCTGAAACCTACTGCAAGTTAACAGAATATCGATAGTATTTCTAAAAAGCAGCATGCTGAATGGGAACCTAGACTACATCCTCTAGCCTGTAATTAGGGCAACAAACTGACTTTATAGTCTACATTCTCCTCTACAGTTATGAATTATAAAAGTCAATAATATCTACATCCATGCCCAGAAATTTTCCTTTTCTGAGTTGAGCTTAACTTTGGCTACAGCTGAGACAGTTCCAGTTACTGTTCCTAGTAACTGGTCACTAGTTCTTTTCACCAATTACTAGAAACAATGAGAATTGGAACTGGCCCACTCCTAAGTTTGGTAACAAATAGTTTTGAACAAAAAGAAATTAAACTTTGTTAGTTAGTCTAAATCTAATTCTTTAAAAATTCTAGTAATTTCTCGGTGACTGAGGTGTTACAGTTTTAATTTTATGGGAAACCAATTAGCTCAAGAGAAAACAAAGCACTAAAACACTGTAACTATATCTAGCATACACAACCATATCTTTCATAGCTGTTAAGACCGAATCTTTTTCTTAAGTGCTGATGTTCGTTCAACTTTCATCTATAGTTTATTAAACAAAAATGAACTTTTTCTCGGTCTTTTTATGGAGAAAATGAGTATCAATATAAGAATATACATGAGATTCAAACAACAGAAAATATTCATTGAGAAGGGTCAAATTTAAAAAAATATTAGAAGTAAACAAAATGACTAGCATCAAGTTAAATTTTCTCTCGCCTGATTATTGTTAGAAACTATTTGTACAAGTATACTGAAGAAAAAAATACGGTTTTTATTAGACAAAACAGAAAAGCGAGAGAACAAAATTACATCGACTAGAAAGAAAGCAACGAAGCAAAGTATGGTCTATAAACTATTGCTTATACATAAATACAGAAATCATTGAGACCACTATTTAATCATAAATTTTTTTTATTATAAAGCCCGTCGTTAGTGGCCTCCCTCAGCTGCTTTTGCTGCTTGAGCTTGAGGAATAAGAACAAATGTTCTATACAAGCTCTGAACGTACGTAAAGATGCATTTCCAATCAGGTTTGTCACCCATAATCATCATATCTTCAACATCAATTAATGGAGCCGCACCAGCCTTTTCTCTATAATATACAAAAAATACAGATCATATTAACAAATTGTTAAGTAATAGGTTCATTTTAGTGTCACTGTCCTCTTTAAGCTGTTCTTAGTCCTTTATCTTCCTAACATTTTGCTATATATAGCTATTCATTTGGATCGTCGGTTTGATCAAAATATTTACTTACTCTGCTACTCTAAATGCTAATTCTAAATTTTTTCTTTTCTCTTGAGGATTCAGTGTATTGAAATCAAATGCATCAGGTATAAAATGATGTGTCAAGGCACAAAATGCCATACCTAAAACGATGTATATTAAAATCATTAACAATTTTAATTTCACTATCTCCTACCGTCTGCCCAAGAAGATGAAAAATTTTTCACATTCACGTGTGGATATCCTTTGGTTGATATTTCACACCATTTCAGTAAACGATCTTTGATGCTTGCTGGATTTCTTGGATCATTATTACTCGGAAGTTGGTCACTTAACAGATAATCAACAGATTTCATTTTTTTGGATAAAAAGAGCACACAATCTTTTTTTACCTGCTCGCCTTTCCCGTTCCACCTACATCCTTGTCCTTTTGTTGAAACATTGCAAATGCTGCTTTTGAACTTTGTCCACTAGCACCTCCTAAAAAACCAATAAATGAATTACAAAATTTTATATTGGTTTTTCGGATCTTTTTTGTGTGCTATGTGGTGTGTAGACTGGTGCAAAAAAACTCTCTTATTTCATGTACTTTTGTTATGTTGTAAAAAGTGCAATTAATTGGACAGAAGGTTTAGAGTTATTAAGACTTCCGCATCTGTTTTTTGTGTTTGAATTCTTATTACCATTATTGAAATATATATTATTCGACAAATATCGAGAGTTCTGTATCTGAAGAAATCTCAGTAACGGTAGCAAAAATCTAATTCAATGTAAATTTACGTGAGAACTTTTTTAAAACTCTTATTCAATCAGATACGTTTTTCTAACGTCGTTCAAGTACTCGAAATACGAGAGTTCATCAGTCTATAAACTAGTGGTCAAACTCTGAACATCATGCAATACCACAGAGTGCTGAAGTAAAAGAGGACTAACTAAAAGTGACATGCCTTGCCTACTACATGGTATCTCGACTGTCTATTTTGATATAAAAGCAGTGTTCAAATTGGTTTCTGATGTGTGCTATCATACCACGATTTGGGTAGAGATATTACTAGTCAATGCTTTCGATGATCCAATCACGTGATTACTCCTATGATGACTACCAGAAAAAAGTTGCCGTATACCAACAAATTGTTCGAGATAAGTATATGCTCCGTAAGTAAAAGCCAAATTTTTCATAGAGATAATAGTTAAATGCAATGTAGATCAAAAGTTTTTTAAAACGGTACATATCTACACTTTTGAGTATCAAACTGACGTTTTCTAATCAAAAGCAGCTATAAGTTAAGCTTAAAAGTTACAACAATAACATATAATTATTCGTACCACGTGTTCCAGATGGTCGCACTAAAACAAAAAGACAATATATTGAATTTTTCTATTGTAAAATGTTTATTTTTTCTGTTGTAATTCTCATGATTATAAAGATGAAAATTTTCTGTACTTCACAAGTTTGTTGGAGGATATAAACCAATTATTTAAGTTTTTTGTTCCTTTTCTTACCATTTTTTCCACTCATGATTGAAATGCCCAAAAAGATATTGAAAGGAAGCTTTCTAAAATAGATAAAAAATAGTTTATAATATTGACTATATTAACCATTTAAAACGTGGTTAAATGTATCGGGATAATTTACTTTGTTTATTTTTAGAAATCCTGATTTTTATTAGCATTTTATTTATTTTCTACTACCTGTTTCAAAACAAAATGATCCCATATATTTTTTTTTGAATAGCTTTTGATAGAATTGAGAGAGACATGCGATATATAGATGATGGGGCATGCCATTTCATAAAAGAATAAATCTAAATATCTTTTTCTTACTCATTCAGATTTCCAAATTTTAAAGTAGTAATAATATTTGTTTGTTATCAGAAAAAGATTTTCAAGTGTATTATGTATGGTATGTCTTTCTCTCATTTCTATCAAAACTCATTCAAAAAATATTCATAGACGCTTTAATTACAAATGAATGATAGTCTTATCACACGTTTTACTCAGTTTATACTCTAGTTGGTTAATCAAGTAGAGTGTTTGTTCAATACTTTAAAAATTTGTCAAATAATATGTTCAAAAATTAATCACGTCATTGTATGATTCTCGCAGAACAAAGCAAAATTCGACAGCTCAACAGGAAGGAAGGCGTTACTCATTTTTCTTCTGAAAAAATAGTACAGAGCATGTATGGGATTGCATTTGATATTATGATTTAGAGAAACGAGAAGGGATAATATTAACTGTGTTTATTAAAAGACAATTTTTCTTTCTGTACATCTTATACGCAATAACCATATGGTTTTTTTTTCTGTTATGTCCGTTATTTCTTCATTACAACAATCTTGCATCGATTAAAAGATGGACACTAACAATGTTTAGAAGAAATATGACTTTCAAGTTATTTTACTAGCGATACATTGTTATATATCACGATATATAGATGGATATACTAGATACTATAACAATAGTAGAGAAAAAATATTTTTTTGTTCAGTCACTATCTCAAAAGTCTTTTCTTTGCTGTCTGAAACGTTTATTCTACATATAATTATGCAGAATGACCAAATGTTTAATTCTAGGAATCAGCAGATAATCCATCTTCAAGATTGTATACGTAATCCTTCAAACTATTTTCGTTACAGTTACTAGAATAATAGTAGTATATTTTTACATACAAACATGCAAAAAGAAATTACTACGCAGACTACACCAGAGTTATTGGTAAATAATTTTTGCAGACAAAAATAAGTTATCTAATTGAGAAAAAAATCATCTTTTTTTTTCAGAATAGTAATATCGTATATATTTATCAACGCAATAGAAAGAAGAGTATGCTTCTGCTTTCTGTATAATTTTCGGATGATGCAAACAAATACACTCAATCAATCTTCTTGTGAATGTATATAAAATATATGCCGTTTAATGTCAACAATTGCAAATGCGAGAAAATATGACGTTTTTATAAGTCTAATCAATTTATAGGAGAAGGAGTGTGCACTCTCTGTTTAAAATGAACTCTATCTTACACTATTCTTTTTTTAACTCATTGAACTCCAAAACAGTACATTGAAAGTTCTATTTCTTCTAGCAGATTTTTAAAATTAAAATTTAGAGTGCAAACTAAACTACATCGAGGAGAACTTTCATCTCTTTGATTTCTGATTTTCTTACAGATATGATGAACGACGACTATTTTCCCTATGATTGTACCTATGCAATATCGTAATCTCCAAAAATAAATGAGGCGCATTTGTGGGTATTTATAAACATCTACGCAAATATCTCCTAAACAAAACTAGAACAATTAACGCTGATAACATCGATTTAATTGCACAACTTCAAATGCTGTACAGCTTATGGACTAGCAACATTGATTTGATTTTAACAGTTTAGTTTAAAACTAAGTTCATGTATTCAAGCTGCTACTTGTACTAAATTATTTTTGTATTTTTCAATATTTTGTCTCTTATATTTTGAAAAAACAGTGTCAATATCTGTATCAATATCTGTGCACTTTATGAAAACATTTAAGAATCTCATTGTCCAAGCGCAAAATCTCGAGTAATGATAATCATACAGTCGAAATAACACATAGTACAGATTATGCTTACTTTTGTTTTTGTACGATATTAGAATTGGAAAAATGTTTTTTAAACTAGTAATATCAGAATTAGGTCTATGTATAAGTCACTGACAACAATCATAGAGCAACGGTTATAAAAGAAGAAAAGTACGCGCTTATTTTCCATTTTCTCTACCGAACGAGAAAACACCAAAACAGAGAAAACTATCTACTCCTTCAACTAATACATATATGGATAGAGAAAAAAGACGATGACAATAGGAAATAACTTATACATATATTAGTGCTAAAAATCTGTTATGAAGGACACTAATATATAAGAATGAATGGGTGGTGGCATACAAGAAAAAAAAGACCTATTTTTGTGTTGTAAACATACTTGACAATAATGATGGATCAAAAGTTAAAGGAAAATATGTATGAGACGAATCCAGAACTTTTCTAAGGTACATTTTCATAGTCAAGTTCGCTGAGCAAAACTTACTTTCTCTTTTTTCTTCCTAAAAAAAAAGAAAATCCACCTCTGATATATATAAATAGACGATTAAAGGAAATTATTATTTCTGATATTCCTTTATACTCGTGCTATGTGATTACATAAAATCAACATAAGTGCAACATTAGTGTTTTATTTGTGCCAGTCAAATGATTTGTAGTAATGAAAAACTAACAATATTTGCACATGTTGAACATAATTCTGGAAATATTTCCATCATAATTCACTGAAGCATCGTCTAGATTTAATGTTGAGTCATCTACTTGTAGATAAACAGAAACTGTAATTCGGTAAAAGTTGATTATTATGAAAACAGCATTCTGTTGGAGAGATGTGTGATTTTGACTGCCCTACCTTATGATAAACATTTCACATCCATGTTATGTTCCAGTATTGTCTATTGTTTGCTACCATGTATAAGAAAAATAGAATACAGTGGCATACTCTAATACTTTGCTGCGATAAAACACTTATTTTTCTCGAAAAAGAATTTGAAATGAATAAGTCTTGTCCTTGGATCAATATTTCTTAACCTTTTTTCCTTAAATGTCTACCAGCGTGGATGTTACTGAATATCGGCGAATAGCTAGCAAGGTGATGATCGTCTATCAAAAAACGAACTTTTTTCCAGCATATTACTGTATAAGAAAAATTGAGAATTTTATGAGAGATTGAAACTCTCGATATGAAATTAAAATTTTATGAATAAACTTCAGTCACAATTTACTTAGTATTCCCTCCATTTGACTCCTAGTTACTAGTCATTCAAAGAAGACAATAAGTGTCGTTCTGATAATTTGGCGAAAAGAAACTATGTGCGTACAGGTAGACTGCTGTCATTGCTTCTTTGTTTAGTTTATTTAGTTCAACACTTTTACCAACAAACAGCGAAAAAACTGAAAATGAAAATTCTAGTCTATCATCATACGTTAAAAGATTTTTCAATTTTAATTTATGTAATTCTGAAGTGCGAAAAGCATTACTAAGGCACAGCAACGTTGCTAACTTATGAGTAAGTTTCATTGTCATTTGATCGTTGTTTCCTAAGGAGACAATGTGATCGAGTAAGCGGTGAATGTCCCAAATTGTTTTATACAGTGACTGCGATGGAGGTTGATTGAAAATGCCTTTCATCAGTGCAATAACTAGTGGGTGTTATCCCGCTTTGTAATTTTCAATGTCGGGAAGATATGAACAAAGAGCTGACCTATATAAATTTATTGAGCTGTACTCGAAATTTTACTCATATAACAAGGTTAAAAATTCTAGTATATTTTCCAAATTGGTTGAAAAAATATCAATTTTCCTTTTGAGACACTAGCTATCGTACTTCTTAATACAACAGTCATATCTGAATCGTGTACCTGTGCGTCTTGCATTAAGAATGAGTTCTCTTGCTGTTGGTGAAATTTTTTCAATAACTCTTCCTGCTCGGACACTTTCCACACCGCGAGATTCAGTGTTTGCGCTGTTAACACCGGATGAACTTGGTCCATCGGATTGAGTAGCAACAGATCGTAGTTGGAAAGAAGAATTGGTGTTTCTATTAACATTTGTAAGAGCAGAGAAAGTAAAAGTTTGACCTGATCAAGCCGGTGCAATAAGAACTGCCGTTGCTCGATCTTTTCTTATCTTTAAACAATGACTTATGAGGCAAAACGGCGGAAACAAATATCCGTAAAAGGTAGACCAATCTTTCTGCAATGCATCCGTTCCTAACGCATCCGGATCTGGTTTCTAACTAAAATAGGATGGTAATTGAGCACTCCAGCGGTCTGCAAAGCAGTCGATTTGAAAAGGACCGAAGGAGTTTACAATTTGTTTGAAAATGTCTGGATTAAGTTTCCAATTACTGCTATCGTTTAGAAAGCGTGAAGTCCAATTCGCGTCTATATTACGAACACCGGATAAATACTCTACGGATAAACTGCTTTGTTTACCTAAACAAAACTTTCAAAGTTGTTTTCCTCCAATGACGAGATCTTCCGATTTCGTTTCACCGAAACTAGCGATGTACTTCACCGCAGAAATGTTGTCCATCATGAGATGAACGTGTAAGTTTGTGAATTCTTTTACGAAAGCTTTGAGCTAAATGTTCAGCGATTAATTCTTTGACATTTATATTTTGACGCGTCTGAAGATACAAAGACGTCTGGCTGAGTTGTTAGAGACGCCGGTTTTTGATTGTGAAGGTCAAAACTTTCTATCCACCATGTTAGTTCATCTTTTAAGGCGTCGTTCAGTTGAACGAGACTATAGTACGATTTATGTTTAACAAGCTCTTTGATCGTAAGGAATTGTAAATTGCGAAAAAAAGTGGTCCAGCCTGAACGGCTTGTGATGTCGCAGAAAGAGTTCCTATGATTTTCGAAAGTTCACGGACTGTGATTTGATCCGTTTTCAAAAGTTCACTGCATTTGTGTTTTATCTTGTCACCTTTATCTTTTGGTAAATGTAATGTCATAGTTTCTGTGTTGATCATGAATCCCAAGTATTCTAAGGATTTTTGCGGTTTAAGAACCAATTTTTCAAATTGACGACGAAGTCCAAATTTTTCAATAGAAATAAAACGGAATCTCTGTCCTGAATCGCACTATTTTTAGTGTCGTTCATAATAATAATGTCGTCGAGGTAGATTACCGTACGAATGTCTAGTCTTCGTAACAGAGCCATAACTGGTTTCAACAGTTTAGTAAATAGACGCGAAGCACTTGCTAGACCAAACGGTAGAACGCAGAACTCATATAAAATTGTTGTCCCGTTCAAAACGCAAATACTTGTGATATTGCTCGTTTATCGGAACGGCGAAATAAGCGTCTTTTAGATCGATTTTCATAAGAAAGTCGTTTTTCTGTAAGATACTTTTAACTTGGATCATATTATCCAGTTTAAAATGTTCATATTGTATGAATTTGTTTAAGTCTTTCAGATTAAAGACTGATCTTTGTATTACTGCATAAGAAAAATTTGTTTTATCAAGCTTATAAAGATTTTAGAATTTCAACTTCAGTTTCCATGATCAGTTGTTACCGAGAGTAAAGTGTTAACGTTAGTAACAAATATTATTTATCGAACGAATCAAAAGTTTTCGGTTCATTTAATAACTCGTGCTCTCTTATTTATCATAAATGTTTTGAACTCATCATGGCATCCGAACTTTCAACATAGTTCGAAGGTTCTTTTTAAATAGAAATAGGATCATTAAAACCATAGAAAAACATAACACACTATTATTTATTTACCACAAACGAAAACAGAAACAACAAAAAGTTAATATTTGATAAATGATCAATGTTAAAGAAAAGAAAAAGCTGATTTTTTTTTAACCGGCATATTTTAACAGCATAGTTCTGTTATTTTTCCTCGTCACTGTTTTTCAAATTTAGGTGGAAAATAAGAAAGGAAATTTTATACGCATATCAAAATTACCTGCCGCAGTACACAAAAAAACCCAATATTTCAAAACAAAGGTCGTTAAGTCAATCGATTATACATATTAATAGGAACAAAAAAAAAATGTAACTAAATCGAACAAAACACCCATAGTTACGCTACGTATCCATTAATGGCCCAATCACCTTCGATATCACTAATTTTTTGCGCTGCAAAAAAAATGTTTTGCGCTGCAAAAAAAATGTTTTGATTGAAGTTGGAGATAAGAATACCACACAAGAATTGTTTACATTTTTCTTTAGTAGTGGATGAAAAATTCATTGGGCTTACTTCTTATCGAAATCTTGACAACGTCACTGACTCTCACTCAAACAGAAACAAATAAATTTTTTTCCTCAACTACTTCACATTTTCTGAGCGCGATTTTACACCTGACATGGAAGCATCACACGCTGGGTTAAAACAACGGCAACAGGAAAACTAATGCTTATGTACAATATTATTTTGTCAAAATAGCAGAAGAAAAAAATAAAAATAAAAACATAGGTGGTGAATGAACAAATGTTTTTTTTTTCGTCGAAGTAATAAATACAATATACAAAACAATCAAATTATTTTAAAATATCGAAAAATAAGTTGCTCGATAGAAAAAAAAGTCCTGTCGAATTCTTTTTGAGGTTAAAGAAACAAAAAACAGAACTGAGATCGACCACTCGCTAAAATATATCTAAAGAGAGAAGATATTAGTAGTGATAAGAGAGTATAGACGCTATAAAAAAAATAAAAATAGATAAATTGCGCTTCGTTCAAGACTTATTTTTCTAATGCAGTATATATGTATTTATTGCACTTCTGGACCAGGTGGATCTTGACGAGGAGGACCCTACAACAAAAATATTAAATATTAGTGATCTGTAGTAAGAATATCTTGCTAGATCAAAGACAGATGTTTTCTGTTATACCTGATTTGATGACTTATCTAAATCTCTATTTGATTGCAATGTACGTGGGCGAAAAATGAATAACAAAAAAGCAATTGCTACCCAGGCCATTAACATCATCCACATTGTCGTGCTACGTTCTGGTGGTGGTGTTGTACCGTGAACTAAAGAAGAAGAGAAAATATCGACTATCTTTTTTTCTACAATACGATCGATAACATACGTGCACCAGTAAAACATTCACTGTCTGTACAAGTTGTTTGAGCATTGCGCAGCTAGAAAAAAACAGAATATAGAGTATGAGAGCCGATCATTTGTGAGGATGCTGCTTACTTACCATAGATATAAGTCGTTGCATCGCACCCTCATGACTGATGATACATTCACAAGGATCAAAACCTCCATTTCCGCCACTTCCGTCCATTTTTCTAAAAATTTTCTAATAGTAAAATAATATTTTGAATAATATTTAACAAAATTCAACACACTTGTCAAATAAGTCGCGATGAGTTATACAAGATAGTTATAAGTTATTTGCACTAACAGATAATAATAATAACCTATAGACTGAATTCTTTTATTGATGCATTTTTATAATCTATAACAATAAAGTAAATCTCTCCAAAAATATGATCAAATATGATTATATTGTGTCTGATCGTACAACCAGAAATAAGAGACAACTACACCATCTGTTACAATCTCTCCTTCATCGACTCTTTTCTCTACTTTTCTATGTCAGAAGGCTTTTAAAACTGAAACCAGATTTCTTTACTTTACGAGAAAAAACGAAAAATAACGTAAAAAATGTCACGAGAACTGATGTTACACTTGACACGTTTCACCCAGAATAGAAGAAGTTTCTAGAATTGTAAAGTTATGACTCTACCATTAAATTGAAACATTTTTATTGTTATGCTGCATTCTCCATCAAGAAGTCATCTAGTATACCACAGTTTTTGTGATAAAAAACGGTAAAGCCATTGTGTGACATATTTTTTCGTTGATTGCCGCACTTTTGCTGCTACAGAGGGAATTAACATTAAGAGATACTACTATTAACCAGGTTCCCATAATGGATGATCACTAATAACCGAAACAAGGAAATTTTTGTTCACTATTGGAACAAAGACATCGAGAAGAAAGAAATTCGTAGAATGACTCACTTTTTTCTTGGTTTGCGAGCACAATTGTAAGATTAAAGCAAAGAAAATCAAAAGTTTTAAATCTGGATTGAAGAAGGCGTTTTTTATTCTAAATGCTGTTCCTATACTCCTCATATTTTAGTTTTCTAAACATCTGCTTCATTTTCTCCGTATACCTGACGTTTAGTTCTTCAATATTGTAAAAAAGTGCGAAAAAGAAAAGGGAAGTAATAACAAGACAAATTTTCTCGAATTATTTTAATATAAATGTTAAAAATAAAGTTTCTGAAAAAATCAAGATGAAGAAAACGAGAAAAGGTCACAGTAAAAAATACAAAAATAATAATTGCTCTAATTCGGTCATTATGAAATAAGGAGTAATTATCCTTTTTGCAAAGTGTTGGCTGCTTAAAACTACAAGCTCATATAAAAAATATTATATACAACATCATATAATTTTACGCGCATCCGACAAATAAATTGAAAACGAATAGTTATTTGTTTTTTTACACATAAGTGATTGAACTCAAAAACATATTATTCAACGAATGAATGTACCTTCGAAAAAGAGAAAAAATCTGCTATGATGAGATCACTCTAAGTCTATTGTTTAAAATGAAAAACTGTGATAGCAAAGTTTAGGTTAATTACGTGTAAAGTTAACTTTCTACCTGGAGTTAACGCAAAGATGTTGAGCTCAAAGAAAAAGGTTTGACATGGCTAAGAAAACAACATTTTGCCAAGGATTTTATGTGAGTTTTGTGATAGTATTTTTATTCTTTTTGTCCTTATTATAAAAACATTTTACAGGTAATCAATCTTGTCCTATTTCTGGCAAGACTCTTTCCTATTACCATTTCTGTCGAGAATCTTTTAAAACTGTCTTTGAATTATACCTTATTTTTGTTTCGCATAATTTTTGTGCGTATGCGAGATTTGAGAATCATAAAAGTTGTGCACTGTGTGTTAGTATA